CAAAAAAAAAAAAAAAAAAAATCAACCTGCGAATAAAAGTTACCCAAAAAATGCCTATATATAAGTGATCAAAATTTGTCATTCTAATAAAATTTACAGTAGTATTGTCTTATACATCTCAAGTATGCGTTGTGTTTCTGTAAGATTTTGTGTTTGACTCTGTTAGTGGTTACTGCATTGTATTCAAATATTTTGTCCACCTATAAATAAATATGTATATCCATATACATATATATTGGAACTCTGCCACATTGAGTGCTCAAAAAATGTTGAGCTAAAGCAATTATTTTGAAATTTGTTTTATCTTTCTCCTCCTTTTGCCCTGGAATTTCTGCTGGGTAAATAATTCTAGACATAATCACTATAATTATTTAATGCCTCCCCCCAAATAATTGACTTTTGACTATTAATTAAAATGAATTTGGGACATTTGTTTTCGTGTAACTTGATTATCTGTGTTACATCTAGTGCCTATTAGGATGAACGAATGAGACTGTATGGTGCTATTCTTTCCTTTAAAGAACGGCAATTATCCACATGTACGAAATAAAAAGGTACAGACTTATACAAATGTTTCGCCTATGCTTTTTTCCTACTTTAGTCCACCAATCGATGACTTTGATGTATTTAAAGAATCGAAAGACCAAAATTTCTTTGAGTCACAGGAATCTATTATTGCTTTATGTACTCACCTGCAACAGTTGCTGAGAGCTGTTGAAGACCTAGAAGAAAATCAGCTCAAAAATGAATTTTTTAAACTTCTGCAGGTAATTATGATCACTCATTTTCTGAGTATATTTGTTCATTTAAACAGTTGGAAAATAAACTGGTGCACAGTTAACAACAAGGCATATGAATATTAAGTTATAATTGACCATTTTTTATCTAACTCAGTAGTGTTAAGAGATGAAAATCCATTTATTTCCTAAAAATGCATTTTGAAATCTCTTTTACTCTGACTGGATGTGATTTTGGTGGCATAGGAGTTCTCTGATTTCATAGCTCTGGCTTGCTTGGGAGAATATGTCATCAAGATTCAGTTGCCTAGCCTTACGTGGGCTTCAGCATTGGTTCTGTCGCCTATTTACAGTTGCTCCTGAAGCATTTTACTTAATTTCTTTGGTCTTCAGTTTCCTCGTCTGTTAATGAGGATAATGTATACTTCATAATTTGATGTGAGCATTAAGCTAGACTCGTGCATGTGAATTGCTGAGCACAGAGCCTGAGATACTGAGCCTATGCCTGTCATCAAAAGTTGCTATTACTCAGGTGGTCACTTATCCTGTTGATATGGTTTTCTTACATTTCTTTCATTTATCTGGTAGTAAGTTTAGTTTTTAATTCATTCAGACATCTTAAAATTTACAGCATATTATTAGTATCAGAATTATTTTAATACATCTGGTACACAGCAGTTTCCCTAGATCTCAAATTTCCCAGAAAAAGTTAGAAACATTTTCAGAAAGAAATATGAGAAAGTGTTGTGAAGAGAAATAAAACAGGAAGTGGCCATTGGGAATGTTGGGAGAAGGGACAGTGGGCTGCCAGGACAGGGCCCCAGGAGACTGAGGAGGCTGATGACACACCTGAAAGCAGTGAAGGGGTGAGTCAGGCCTGTGTCTGGGGAGTAGGGACAGACACAGGGGAGTTGGGACACTGCCATTGGTGAGAGGTAAGGGGGTGGAAGGGACGCAGAAGGCCTTGGAAATGTGTACTCAGTGTGAAACAAAAGCTGTTGAAGGGTTTTGATCGGAGAAGTGATGCTATTGACAATTTCCAGGAGCACTTCAGAGAGTGGGCTGCAGAGGAGGGTGGAGACAGGAGAGCTGTGCTGAAAATCAGTTGGGATGGCACTGAGGTGGTAGCATAAGAGGTGGTCATTGTCACCAGGTGCTAGCCTCTGAATGTAGAGGTTACAGAATTTACTGACAGGTTGTCGGTGGTGACAAAGCCCTTATGAGACTTCAGGACAATTAGAGTCACAAAAAAATTGTCAGGGCATTGTTAACTAATAAACCCAGTTTCTTGTGTCTCCCCCCCCAACTATCCTTTATGCTTAGCTTGGAATTGAAAAAGAAAAAACAAAGCTAGCATGCCAGCTGTTGACGCCTAGCCAGCCCATTCTTTCAGGGAATAGTCTTCTTTGAATGTGCTCATTGTCCCATAGTATAATAAATTGTGAAGAAGAATGGGCACTCCTCTAGTTTCTTTTTTTTGAATAGGAGTCTCACTCTGCCACTCAGGCTGGAGGGCAGTGGCCCCCTTCTGGTCACCGCAGCCTTGACCTGCTGGGCTCAGGGCAATCCTTCCGCTTCAGCCTTCCAAGTAACTGGAACTACAGGCACATGCCACCACACCTGGCTAATTTTTTTATTTATTGTGGAGATGGGGTCTCACAAAGTTGCCCAGGCTGGTATCGAACTTGCAGGCTCAAGCAATCTTCTCACTTCAGCCTCCCAAAGTGCTGGGATTATAGGCATGAGCCACTGTACCCGGCCTCGTCTAGTTTCTCTCATTGAATTTGGCTGACGACCTCACACTACCACTGTGCTCTAAGAAAAGGAAGCCAGAATTGCCTCCTTGTGGTGTCCATAGGAGCATCAGGTTAACATGCTCAGAAGCTTGAAGGTGATGTAGTTTGCAGAGAACTCGTTCTGTTTTCAAAAGTCCTAGTAATTGGACTGTCCCTGACAGCACACACTTCTGGGCCTACTGTGTCAAACACTGTTCTAGGTGCTGGGCATGTGGTGGTGGAAAAAACAAGCATACTCTCCCTGTCTTAGAGTTGTCATCTTTAGGAAATATAGACAATCGAGTAATTGCACAGATAGCTATGTGATTGTACACTGGAAAGTGCTTTGAGGAGATGTGCAGAGGCCAGCACTGACCTAATCTCAGTTGGTGAAGGCTGTCATGTGCTCCATTGTGTGTGCTTCCTCAGCAAACTATAGGAAAGGGTTACCTTGGACACTTTAAATATTAGTTAGGCCTTATTGTTACTTTAAAAAATCCATTCATTTCTCTTCCTTAAAAATAATGCTCTTGGCCGGGCACAGTGGTGCACACCCATATCACCAGCACTTTGAGAAGCAGAGGCAGAAGGATCATTTGAGCCCAGGAGTTTGAAACCAGCCTGGGCAACATAGTGAGATCTTGTCTCCACAAAAAATGAGCCAGGCGTGGTGACACGCACCTGTAGTTCCAGCTACTCAGGAGGCTGAGGTGGAAGGATTGCTTGAGTCCAGTAAGTCAAGGCTGTGGTGAGTTGTGACCATGTCATTGTACTCCAGCCTGGGTGACAGAGAGAAACACTGACTCAAAAAAAAAAAAAAATTAATTAATGAATACTCTTGGTTGGAACGTACATTTCCCTTATTTTAAATTGTGAATGAGATTAGTATATTTTGGCTAATATTTTTTGAGTACTTCTATATGCCAAGCATTTGGTACATTATTTACATGTATTATGTTAGTGAAGTCTCATGATAACTCTGTGAGTATTAGTATCTTGCTCTTCAGTTGCAGAACCTAAAACTTGGAGATCTTCAAGTAATTTGGCAATACTCATTAATTGAAGATGCTGGGAACTGAGCCTTGGTCTTGTCTGACTCCAGAGCCTGCAATCCTAAATGTGTAATTTTATGACTTAAAGAAATAGAACAAGAAAGAAAGACAGAGAGAGAGCTAGAGTGAGAGAGAGAGAGAGAGAGAGAAAGAGAGAAAGAGAAAAAGCAGTAGAGCTACATATCATTTTGCACAAAATGAAATTGAATACTATTTCAATTTAAAGCTGAACAATAGATAATTGATTACAGTGGGTCTTTCGGTAATGTCTTGTCTAAAGAGTTTGGTATTTAGACATCACCTGTCCGGTTTTTAAAATCTTAATTCCTGAAAGGTCGTTATACTCTCAGGTTATATAATTTGTAAAAGAAACTGGACAGGTTTTTTTTTGTTTGTTTTTGTTTTTAGTGGGGGGCCAAGGGGAGAGTGATGCTAGGAGGGAAAAAGGAATGGCTTTATTTTTCTCTTGACTCTGGATTGTAAAGTCAACTCTGAGCCTCTCTCCAGACAGCAGCTGATGATATTCTAATGTCTGCAAGATGCAAGCAGTGTTATTCTGAATAAACAATGGTTGCTAAAATAATTGAGACCAGTTTTTTAAAAGTCCGTTACATACTGATGGATTAAAAACTTCACTGCCTTACCTTGTTGATATAACATCATGTAAACACTAGAGAAAGTAGAGATTTGATGGGCATCTTATATTTAGAGTTATGTAGAAATGTATGCATTTTTAAGCAACCTCCCACATAATAGTATTTTGCTGGTGATTCAAAAGCAGGATGAATATTTTGTACCTTTTTATTTTTCAGATTTCACTGTGGGGAAATAAGTGTGATCTGTCTCTATCAGGCGGGGAAAGTAGTTCACAGAAGACCAATGTCATAAATTCACTGGAAGACCTAAAGCCTTTCATTTTAGTGGATGACACAGAACATCTTTGGACATTGCTTAGCAATTGCAAGAAGACAAGAGAAAAAGCATCTGTTGTTAGAGTGGATATTGTTCTGGATAATTCTGGGTTTGAACTTGTTACAGATTTAATATTAGCCAACTTCTTGTTGTCCTCTAAACTGGCCACTGAGATTCATTTTTATGGAAAAACAATTCCGTGGTTTGTTTCTGACACTACTGTACATGATTTTAATTGGTTAATTGAACAGGTAAAACATAGTAATCATAAGTGGGTGTCCACATGTGGGGCTGACTGGGAAAGCCTTATTAAAACGGGCAGATGGGTTTACCATGATCACATATTCTGGACTTTGCCTCATGAATACTGTGCTATGTCTCAGGTTGCTCCTGACTTATACACTGAACTACAGAAGGCACATTTAATTTTATTCAAGGGGGATTTGAATTATAGGAAGTTGACAGGTGATAGAAAATGGGAGTTTTCCGTTCCGTTTCACCAGGCCCTGAATGGTTTCCATCCTGCACCCCTGTGCAGCATAAGAACATTAAAAGCTGAGATTCAGGTTGGCCTGCAGCCTGGGCAAGGGGAACAGCTCATGGCCTCTGAGCCCGACTGGCTGACCGCTGGCAAGTACGGAGTATTCCAGTATGATGGCCCACTCTGACTCAGCTTAGGAGCCCTCGGCTGTGCAGAAAGATCTGACAAAAACCTTTGCATGCCCAGAAAAGCAGCATGGGGATTCGGTCATTTGGCTGCTCTTCATTCACTCTGGATGGTCTGTCCTTTGAATATTTTGCCCCAAACATTGTTTTGGGGATAGATGGGGTCAGCTAGTTATAGGTATTTACCTTTATGTTGGAATTTTAGCAACTTATGTCAAGTTAAATGCCTAATTTCAGGTGGTCTTCACTTAGTTTTAATTGGGTGGGAAGCAAAATATAAATAAGTTCTGCTTTTCAAGTTAGTTAACTCGATTTTTTTTTTTCTTAAATGGTATAATGCATGCTATTTAATATTCTAGGAAGCATAGAATTTTGTTTAACTTGATTTTGGACTCGAAATAATGACTTTATGAAAATACACATTTTAATGACTCTTTGTAAAGAGAGGCATTTCTTACAACTGTGATGCTTGCATACTTAAAATTACCTCATAAGTTAATTCTAACTTTTGTTCTCTTTGAATTTTATTTCATTTTATTGCTTTAATTTGTATGCATTTGTATTTTGATTAACCTGTAGAATGGAGGTCAGAAGATACAAAATTGAACAGAGTGAAACAAATGGGACTTGAAGAAATATAGTATCTTTTACATTCTATTTATGAATCCGTAATCAACTAAGAGTATTATTTGGCCACATAAGTGTTTTAAATGAACAGATTTTTAGTTGGCCCTTTTAGAAAAACGCTTTAGATGGAAATGATTCTTATACATTGAATTTGGGTACTACCATCAATTATTTATTTTTTTATATTCTTATACATTGTATTGGTCATTGCCGACATTAAAGACACAAAACTTCAGGTCAGTTTGTTATGAAACTGAAATTGGAAATATACCTGGAAATGTTTTCTTGCATTAGAATAATAAAAATGAATTGTACTGAAAATCTGCTTGGTTTTATTTTCCAGTGGGGGAAAAGAAGGGATGATGAAAAGTGAGAAAGAAACTGATAATGTGTATTATATGTTGCCAAAGTAGTTATTAAATAATATCACTTATAAATGAGGTTATAGTCTATATTCTTAATATAAATTTATTTGCAAAATGTTTGTATAAAGCTGCACACTTTGAATTTGCTGTTTCCTTATCAACACATGTTCTATTTTAAACATAAAGCTACTAAAATGCTTCTATATTAGAATTATCTGTAGACACTTGACATAACTTAGAACACATCCTGTCTGATGGTCGAATGCTATTCCATTATGTGGACGTACCCCATTGTGCTCATTCATTTGTCAGTTGATGGACATGAGTTTCTACTTTTTTACTATTGCGAATAATGCTGCGGCAAACATTCAAGTATTTGTATGTCTTCAGTTCCTTTAGACATATACCCTGGAGTGAAAGTGGTGGATCATATGGCAACTATGTTAGACATTCTGAATAACTCAGACACTTGCCAAGGTATTTTGTACTATTTCACATTCCCTCCCACAATGCACGAGGGGGCCTTTCTCCAAATCCTTGTCAGTACTTATTACCTTGACTTTTGAATATAGTCAGGCTCCTGGGTGTGAAGTGGGATCTCATGGGCCTAACTGGCATTTTCCTAATGAATAATGATGTTAAGCATATTTCATGTGCTTATTGGCCATTTGTTTACGACACATGTCTTCAGTTCCTTTGCCCACTTAAACATCTTTTTATGGCCAGGTGCGGTGGCTTATGCCTATAATCCCAGTACTTTGGGATACTGAGGTGAGAGGATTGCCTGAGCCCATGGGTTCAAGCTGCCCAGCCAGGACAACTTGGCGAGACCGCATCTTCAATTAAAAAAAAAAAAAAAAAAAAAGCCGAGCATGGCGTCATGTACCTGTAGTTTCTGCTATTTGGAAGGCTGAGGTGGATCACTTGAGCCCCAGGTGGTCAAGGCTGCAGTGCCTGTGAGTGTGCCACTGCACTCCAGCCTGGGAGACAGTGAGACTCCAACTCAAAAGCAAAAACAAAAAAAAACCCAAACATCTTTTTGTTATTGAGTTGTAAGATTTTTTTTTTTGGAGATTTAGGAGTTTAATTTTCCCCTAGATCAAGATCAACCATTTTTGCTGGGATAAAAGAAAAAAGAAGCCGGGCTCGGTGGCTAAGCCTGTAATCCCGCACCTTTGGGAGACTGAGGTGAGTGGATTGCCTGAGCCCATGGGTTCGAGACCCGCCTTGGCAACTTGGCGAGACCTCATCTTTACAATAAATCAAAAATTAGCTGGGCGTGGTAGCGCGTGCCTGTAATTCCAGCTATTCGGGAGGCTGCGGTGGCTGGGGGCAGCCACTGCACTCCAGTCTGGGCGACAGAATGAAACTCCAACTCAAAAAAATAAAAGAAAAAAAGAACAACTCAATAGCACCAAATGGGGTTTTAACACAGAAAACAGGGTCAATCCTTTCAAATGCAAATTTTTACATTAAAATGTGTTTATAAATCTCTCCGAGTTGTAAGATTTAAAAAATATATTCTGGATATAAGTCTCTTGTAAGATAAGTGATTTGTAAATATTTTCTCCTGTCCTGTGGGTTATCACTTTTTTTGATGGCATCATTTGCCGCACGAAAGCTTTAAATTTGGCGTCACTTGGAGTTTGGACAAGTCCCCTTTTTTCTTTTGTCCCTTTTGGAACTGCTTTTTAAAATTCCCTTAAGGTGGCAGGGCATGATGGTTCACACCTGTAATTCCAGTACTTTGGGAGGCCAGGATAGAAGGATCACTTGAGGCAATCTAGGAGTTAGAAGCCAGCCTGGGTAACATAGCAAGACCTCTCCTCTACAAAAAAAATTAGTTGGGCATGCTGGTGTGTGCCTGTAGTCCCAGCTTCTTGGGAGGCTAAGGCAGAAGGATCGCCTGAGCCCAGGAGGTGGAGGCTGCAGTGAGCCGTGATCATGCCACTGCACTCCAGCCTGGGCAAGAGTGAGATTCTGACTCGAAAAAAAAATCCCCTTAAGGGCCACTGAAGTGAGGGACTGAGAAACGAGGTACAAGACTGCCAAACCCACTCCCCAGCACACTTGTTTCCACCTGAGCAAACGTGGCCTGCAGGTTTGGCACATGCAGAGCACAGTGGGAAGGCTGTGACTTGGCAATCAGGTGTGGGTGGGTTTTCCACTGAAGAGCTGAGTGATTTTGGAAAACTATCCCAAAATAGCATCTTCAGTTGTTTCAACTGTTGCCACACTTGCAACAGTTTTTATTTTTTTGCTTCCTCAATTAAGAGAGAAAATGCAGCACATTTTTATCAAGACATAGCTCCAATATCCTAGGTATATTAGGATGAAAATGTGGAGGAAGAGCAGGTAAATAATTAGGCAAAGAATGGGGTTTTTGTGTGTTTATTTACCTATGTATTAACTTATTTTGATTCAGGTCTCACTCTATCACCCAGGCTGGAGTGCAGTGGCACAAGCATGGCTCACTGTAGCCTCCAGTTCCTGGGCTCAGGTGATCCTCCTGCCTCAGTCTCCCAAGTAGCTGGGAGTACAGGCATGTGCCACCATGCTTGGCTAATTTTTTTATTTTTTTATTTTTTGTAGAAATGAGGTCTCGCTATGTTGCCGAGGCTGGAATTTTTATTAAACAGTAAATGAACAAGATGAGTTGGCATGATCTAGCTTTTCTCCCTAATTTGAGACAAAGTTTTGTGTTTGTTGAAATGCAACAATGTTTTTGAAACTTGATAAAGATGGAATTTGTGTTGTTCAATCTCAAGGTCATGTTTCTATAAATGAAACACCAGCCAACAAAAACAATGTCAACAGAGTTTAAGCCCTTACTTGCATTTTAAGAAAACTCCAGAGTGAACTGAAGACACAGTTCAGAGTTCCAGTTATTAAAATTCCCCCTCCCACCGATTTTTCTAACACAGCTCTCTCTGCCCAATCCCCCACTAGGCCTTATTCCAGAACATCTTTTGCCACAAAATCTTTCTTTCCTCTCTTCTCCACTTTCCTTTCCCTGCTAGTTTGGGAGTGGGAAAGACAGAACGCTTCTACAAATGCAAGTCATTACCTAGGTAAAGTGCTAGTGCAATGTCTGACACATATGGTAAACAATAAGCTATATTTTGAAATTGCAGAAAATAAACCAGAAAAACACCAATCAGAAACATAGTATTACCACCTCCAAATACGCTTGTTCAGGTTTTGGCGTATGTATTTTTAAATTTTTCCTCTGTGAATAGGCTTTTCTTTTTTTACATTTTTAAGATAAAGCAGGATCATATTAATTTTTTTATTCTGAAGTTTTTTTAATTCTTTTTTTTAAATTATAAAGATATGGGGTACAATTCAGGGTTAGGTATACAAACGCTGATTATGCAGGTACCTTTGTTGATGAGGTGTGCCCCTCCCTCCCCTGGCAGTTTCCCTTAACTGCCAATCTCACCCCCCATCCCCCGACAGTTTCCCACTAGTGCCAATCCCTTTCTTATAGGATTATGATAATTGTTCAAGGTCCGCTTATGAGTGAGAACATATGGTAGTCTGTTCTTTGTTTGTATGATAGATCATTGAGTATGATCGACTCTAAATCCATCCAAGTTGCTGCGAAGTCCATATGCTTGTCCTTCTCTATGGCTACACAATATTCCATTATGTGAAGTATTTTTTCGACCTTGACTTTGCTTTGTTGGTTGGGTTTGTTGTTGTCATTTTACTTTTGAGTTTTTCTTTTGTTTTCTAATTAGTTCCTGGGAGAGATTTTTTTTTTTCCTTGGGTAGGAATATGACCTGAGACTCAATAATTGTCTGAAACTCATGATTACTTGATTTCTGATTCCTGATTGCCTTAGTCCATTTCTGCTGCTATACCAAAATACTCAGGGCTGGGTAGTTTAAGAACAGAAATTTACTTCTCATGGTTTTAGAGGCTGGGAGTCCAAGACCAAAGTGCCATAGCTCTGTTGTCTGGTGAGGGCCCAATCTCAGCTTTCAAGATGGCACTTTGTTGCTATATCTTCTGGATGGGAGGAACGCTGTGTCCTCACGTGGCAAAGGTGGAAGTGAATGCTGCACGATGCCTCTTAGTTTTATATTGTGGGGGGAGATCTCACTCTGTTGCCCAGGCTGGAGTGCAGTGGTGCCATTCCAGCTCACTACAAACTTGACTTCCTGGGCTCAGGAGAACCTTCTGCCTCAGCCTTCTAAGTAGTTGGGACTATAGGCGTGCATTGCCACACCCAGTCAATTTTTTTTTTTCCATGGAGATGAAGTCTTGCGATGTTGCCCAAGCTGGTTTTGAACTCCCAGGCTCAAGCTGTCCAAAAAGCTGGGATTACAGGCCTGAGCCACCCCCTTGCCCTGACACCTCTTTTATAAGGGCCTTAACCCTATTCATAAGGGAAGAGTCCTCATGAACTAATCACCTTTCTTAATGAACCTGCGTTTTAATACCATGATATTGGCTATGAAGTTTCAACACTTGAATTTTGGAGGAGACACATTCAAACCACAGGACCCATTCCAATTAACTGTGTGACCAGAATCACATTGTCACAAGTTTACCGGAAAAAGAAGTTATTTCTGGTCCATCCAATCTGAAACCCAGATTACCCTGGGGAAACAGGAAACATGTTAACATTGAAAGATGTTAACATTTGGCATCCCCTAGTGGCCACCTAGAAATTCCATAAAACCTGCCCTTTTCCTTGTAAACTGGGAAATACGGTTGCTTAAGGGGCATGGTTCCTATACCCTGAACCATGACATCCAAGACCACCGTTTGAATTGTTCTCCTTCCTTTTTGCTTTTCTTTGGTGACACGTCTGCCCTTCTCTGTTTATTATTGCTTCACTCCATTTTCAGACCTTTTAGAAAACAAAAGAGAAAGTCAGTTCATACAGAAGATACTTCTAAAGTGTCAATTCCCATTAGCCATGCATTTCTTGGGGCAGTCACCCC